CAGGGCCCGGGAGACGCACCCCGAGGGGAGGGGGCGAGGGCCGCGCACGCCCATCCCGGCCCCTCTCGCTTCAAAGGGAACTTCGTGGGAGGGGAGGAGGGGCGCGAAGAGAAAGTGAAACCAGAGGTTGGCGAGAACGCGCCCAGCAGGTTTCTGGGTCCCAGACCCGGTGTCTTCGCAGAGGGCAGGGCCGAACCCAAGGCAGGACCCCCGTTGGGAGCCCCACCCTGCCCCCTTTCCCTCCACAGGGGGCCCAGCCTTGACCCCCAAACGCACACACTGGGCAGTAGCCCTCTCCCTGCCCCAGTGCCCTCTGGCCCGGCCACGCGGTCACCTGGAGATGTTGGGGCCTGAGGGGCCAGCGAGCCTCCCAGAGCTGTCGCAGCCTGGCTGCCTCTGGAGGCGCAGGGGGCCGGCTGGGGTGGGGGTTCCAGCTTTAGGAAAGAGAAGGTCTCAGCCGGCACCTTGAGCCACAGCCCCTGGTGCAGCTACATGGGGTGGGGGTGGGCGGCAGGGTCCTAACCGTTCACCCAAGCCCAGGACTATACACTGGGGAAACTGAGGCTCAGAGAGGGGCAGTGGCTTCCTGTCGGTTTCACAGCGCTGGGTGGTAGAGCTGGGCCTCCAGGCCCTGGTCCACAGGCCTGAGTGTGTGGGGTTGGGTGCCGCTGGGGCAGAGGGTGGGGGTGTGATGGGCCCAGAGGTGTGTGACCCAGAAGAGGAGCTTGGGAACTCCTCCCCCCACCATGGCCTCATGGGCCAGAAGAACCCACCTCCCCTGACCCCAACTCCAAGCCCTGGCGCAGCCCAGTCCAAGGCCGATCCCTCCCTACACACAGTCACGTCTCCAGCACCAGCGGGGACTGGTGAGAAGGAAGACGCGGCGGGCACTTGCAGCGGGAAGAACTGAGGTGCGACCAGAAAGGGAACTTCCTAGCATGAAGGAGACATCAGTTACCTGTAGCTGGGGTGGGGGTGGCCCTGGGGGTGCGGCCTGACCGAGAAGTCTGATTTTATGATAGAAAAAACTGGGTAATCTTAATCGTGGCCTAGGTGAGAGAGAGAGAGATTTCCCAGAGATAGCCCTGGGATCTGGGTGATTCGAGATGAGCCAAAGCCCCACCCAGACTGAAATTACTGGGTGTGAGCTCTGGTCCCTCGGAGACCCTGAGGGGCCTGGGCCGCCTCCCACGTCTATCCAGCACTTGCCCTGCCAGGCCTTGCTCCCATGTCTCACGCCAGCCCCATACCAGGTCTCCTGGTGGCATCACCAAGACGTGAGGAGGCTGCCCTCGTTGGTAACAGGCAGGCTCGTCGCCAGCCCACCGGGCAGCGTGGAAACCTGAGTGTCGGCTGGGCCTCCTCTCTTCAGCTGTAACGTGGGGTGAGCCAGGGCCCGCTTGGGGGCATACAGGACGAAATAAGGTACACATGGTTTCGTCGCCTGTGGGCTGTTCCACCTTGCACGGTGTCCTCGGAGCCCAGAGGCCAGTCTATCCCCTGTGGCTACTCGGTGATTCTCAGAGGGGCTGACCTCACCCCAGGAACACAGAACGGCCCAGATGTGTGCCTGTGACCTCCCCAAGCTTTCTCAGGCACACACCCCGTCCAGGAGCTGCTCACCGCAGGGCTCTGCATTCCCCAATGTGTGGAGGGGCCCGAGAATGGGGGTGGGCCGCCAGCCCTGGTGGGGAGCACCCCGACTCTGCCCACTGGTGGAGGCCACCCCTGCCGTCAGTGACCCACTTGGAGAAAGGCCAGCTCATCAGTCTTTCCTCTGTGGGACACACAGGAGACAGTGGGCGTCTCTAGGCTGGCAGGATCCTACCAGGACACGGTTCTGCACAGCAGGCTGGCACCTGCTCTAGGAGGGCGGTGCCATGTGGAGTGACAGGAGCCACTTTCACAGTCAGGCTGCACAGGGCCCGGGAGCCCTGCTGAGTGTGCTGTGGAGTTCCCAGTCCCTCGGTCCCTCGGTCCTTCCCTCCGGAGCAGAGCCAGAGGCAGAGCGTGGCTGCCATATGCAGGGGCCCCGGAGAGGACCTGGAGTGCTAAGCTGTGGGCCTCCACCAGGCATTGGTCTGACTGTCCTGACAGCCCTCCAGCCTTCTGAGAGTCCCAGCCCACCAGCAACAGGGGGAGCCCCTGGCTTTCCAGCCCCTCAGCCCCTCCCCACCACATCCCCCATGACACCCCACACACTCATCAGGTGTGGGGCAAAGCCTCTGGGACCCACCATGTTCATGTGGTGTCACCTGGTTGTGCAAGACCCTGACACACCTGAGGCTGAGTGAGAGTCTGGAAGGCTGCCAGCTGGGGCCTGGGAACTAGGCTGAGAAGCCTTAGGTGCGGTTGGGGCCGCCCCCAGCCTGGCCCACCTGGGAGAGGCCCTGGCTGGCTGCATGGTGGGTGCCAAGGGCAAGCTCTGGGTTCACACTTTAGCCCAAAATCTACAGGGCACAGGCTCTCAGCCCAGGGGGCAGGTGGACAGATGGACAGACAGACGAAAATCCTCATACGGGCAGTTAAAGAGGTACCAAGGTGCTGGGGAACCTGGGAGAAGGCAGCCCCTGTGACTCCTCAGGCCCACTGAGGACAGGTCGGGGATGTGGGGGGAGGGCAGAGGGAAGTCCTTGGGCAGCCCAGGCCGGGGATGTGGGGCCGAGCCCAGGGTATGCCCTTCCCCACTGGACTGCTGACAGCTGGGACAGAGGACTGGCTGGGCCTCTGACAAGGCAGGAGCTGCCCGCTGGCCTTGGAGAACCGCACCCGCCCATCCAAGTCACCCACCCACACCGCACTAGGTGCCAGGCCACAGGCCCGTCGAGGCAGGCGGCCTGGATGGGCCTGGCTCACAGTAGGTAGCAGGTCAGGGCCTTCAGGCAGATCAGGGGCTGGAATGAACCCTGCTGAGGGGCCAGCATGCTGCACAGGCCCCTGAGAAACCAGACAGCAGCAGGGAGGGGCTGTGAACCCAAGAGAGACGTCCCTGCCAGGAGAGTTACGCAGGAGCAGACGTTGGCGGGGGGCTGCCTGGAGGAGGTGACTCCAGACCTTAAGAATGAGAAGGATTCTGACAGAGGAGATGAGGCAGAGGTTGGCTGGAGGAGGGATCAGCCCAGCAGACAGGGAGACGGCAGTGGGGGAAGGGGGACAGCTCACCCTCCCCCACAGGGCCTGGCTCACACACTCATGCTGCCTGGGGACAGGCTGGCTGAGTGTCCCTCACCACCAGGGTGCTGAAGTCACCACCCTTTGAACCAGAGTCTCGGCCAGACTCCACACACACACAGTGCTGGGCCCCAGACAGACCCACTGGAATAGGCTTTGGGGACCTGGGGAGGGAATGTTCCCTGAGAGATTTTATTGCCACTCCCCCCAACAGAGACATTGAGGCCATAGTTCCAGCAGTGGGGATACATCTCAGTCAAAGCCATGGTGCCCACAGTCCCTCCAGCAGGTCACAAACAGGAAGGAATGGCCGATGTCGCAGCAAGACAGCTTCAGGTTAGACACCAGGCAGCACTTCCTGAAATGAGAGGTCTCCTGAGCCCCGGGGCCAACAGACAAGCCCAGGCGCCTGCAAGTGGGGCCCAGCCTTTCATCAGGGAGGGACCCAAGGACTGAACAAATCCTGCCAGCCTTGAGAATCTTCCAGGGATGGAGTGGGGGTGGGGCTGTCCTCTGGGGCCTGGCCAGCACAGCCTGGGAGGCAGGCAGGGGCGCCCAGCCCGGTGGGTCCTGGGATAGGTGGGTCAAGGCGGGCAGGACACACAGCAGAGGCGTCTGAGTACCCTCCGGGCTCGAGGACCTTCTTGGCTGTGGCTGGGGCCTTCCAGTGCTGTGGTAGTGGCGGCTGACAGGACAGGATCCAGGAGGTCTGAGGCGGCCTTTCCTTCAGGAAGCCCTCCCTGACTGCTCCCATCTCCCTCCGGCATTTTCACCTCCCCCACACAGTGTGTGCCCGCCCACAGGAGGGGCTCTGACCCAAGCTAGGGCATAGCCGCAGGGCTGGGAGCGGTCAGCCCAGCCTGGGGGGACTTACCGGACCTGGGTCCAGGACACCAGCCCCACCCTGGAGACTCTGCAGAAGAGTCACCACCTCCAGGTTCCCAGTGGCCTCTGCCTGTGGGAGGGAGCCCGAGGGAGGAGCTGTCCAAGGGTTACTGACCAGCAGCCCTGCCTCCGCCCAACCTTCCCTGGTCCAGGAGACCCTCCCTGCCTCCCACCCCCTGCCCAGCACACAGGACCCCCATCTTCATTCTCATCCCCACAGCTCTGGGGACTAGAAGGGGGACATCCCCCTCACCCGGGGCTCCCAAATGTGAAGTGTGTTCACCAGGAGAGTAAGGGTATTTGTGGGAGAGGCAGAGGAAGGGGAGTTGGTGAAGCTGTCAGGGAGGCCTTCCTGGAGGAGGTAGTGGCTTTGGAGCACTAGTGGCACTCACAATGAGCAGAGCACTGCGCCCGTCATAGCCTGGCTGCCCCAGGTCGGCCCCCGCCTGCCACCACGCCCGCAGACCTTCACTGTCCGCCCTGGAGGCTAGCCTGGGAGGGGAGCCAAAGGGGGGGGCCATCAGAACCTGCTGGGCACCCACCCATCCAGTCCATCTGCCCACCTGCCTGCCTCATGGCATCTTTACAAAGCCAGCCCCAAACCGCTGACCCAGCAGCACCGGGCCCTGGGGCAGGAGCGCAGGAGTGGGGCAGCCTGGAGTCTAGTTTCACCCAGCGGAGGTGACTGTGACTCAGGTCATGGGTGTGCACACACACGCACACACACGAGCATGCACACACGGGCATGCAGGCACGGGCTCACGCTCACACCCCACCTGCTGAGAGCAGCACGCCAGTTTCACATTTCACAACACCGCTCTCCCTGGGCGGGGCCCAGAGGCCCAGGAAAGTCTGAGGAGACCAGAGGTTCAAAGAGGACATGGGGAGCTGGAGCCCAGCAGGCTGCAGGAAGGGGTCCTGGCGGGGACAGGGTCCTGGGCCTGCCTGCCCTGGAGAAGTGCAGGGGGGCACTTCCCAGGGTCCTCCTCAACCTCCCACCCTCTTGGAGGAGCCCACCCCCATGGGGAAGGGCCCATGCCAGGTGTGCTGGCTGGGGGTGCAGGGCTGGGGGGAAGGGCTGCCCCGAAAGTGGCCCTAATGACCCAATTCCTAGTCAGGAGCAGCAGCAGCAGTCCCCACTGTGGTGCTGGCTAATTGCTGGGGTGCATTGCACTGGAGAAACCACCAGCTCCCCTGGGACTGCCTCCCAGACTCCTGCCACCCCCACGCACACCAGACTCTGGGGAGGGTCAGCCCAGGACCCCCAAATCCAGTCAAAAAGCTCCCGTGGGACCTGGCTGACCCAACCTCTCTCTGCCTCAGTTTCCCTGTCTGTCAGTGAAGCCAACAAGGCCCACCTGGGGGTGCAGCCCTGAACTGGAAGCCCCTTAGTGCCAAGACCAGGCCCCACAGGTTCAGTCCAAGCCCCTCCCCCATCACCTGCTCGCCAACCTCACAGTCTTTCCTGAGAACAGTGGGCAGGGGGCGAGTCCGCCAGCAGGACTGGACCCCCAGCAACACTGAAGACCAGGCTGGAGGGGAGAGGCTGGGGGCCAGTGGGGTCTTTCCACCGCACCCCATATGTGTCCAGGCCCTCTGGGGCCCAGTGAGGCTTTGCTGGCACCCAGTCGTGGGGGTGGGATGGGGGGTCAGAGCTTCAGGTTCTTCTTCCTGTGAGCAGGCGGCTCACCCCTCCTCACTCCAGCCAGTCACCCTGAGACCCCACTGTTGTCACCCACTCCCTGGGCCAGGGGGCTCTGAGTTTCAGGGATGCACACCCCAGCCACGTCCAGCACCCCAACCCCAGGTACGCCAGACAGGCCTCTGCCCTCCTGTCTCCACTGCCCCCCTCGGTTCCTTCCTCCCACCCTCCACTGCCTCAGACCCCCTGCAGGCAGCCAGGGCTGGACACGGGAGTTCTGGCGAGCGAGGGAGAGGGAGCGACAGGGTGTCAGAAGCACCATGGGGAGGGACCCCAGGGATGGAGGGAGGGTCTGAGCTCTGCAGCCCCGGGCTGCCGTCTGCCCAGTGCACCTCCAGCACCCTCACCAGGGAACTCCAGGGCCCACACCTCCCTGGGCCTGTCCCCCCAGGCCCGCCGCGATGGTCGCTCAGGACAGCTGTGAGGTCAGTAATGCTGGCGGCTGGCGGCTGGTCACTGGTGGCAGACGGCCGTGCCTATGAAACCCCCACCCAGCCAACCATCCCTCCCGCAAGCCTGGCTTCCCCTCCCGGAGCCTCAGCCCCAGGTCCCCGGGAAAGCAGATGCCTGCAGCCCTCACCTGCACAGCTCTGTCCCAGCCTCCTCCAGCTCCTGGGGGGACAGGCAGGCCCCAGCTGCCCGGAGGAGCCTGATGACACTCTGGTGCCTGCCACGGAAGAGGGCATGCTGACCGTCTGCCTGGCAGCCTCTGCCCAGACATGACGGGGCCTCAAGGCCTGTGCTGGGGACCAGGAGCCCACCTGGCCCAGATCAGAGCCCCACGCCCAGCGCTGTCCAGGGCATTCTGATTTTGCAGGGTAGGGGTCAGTCAGCCCTGGCTCAGAAGTTCTTCCACCCTCCCCACTGACTTTCCCCTGCCTATCTGGGGGTCGTGGCACCCCACAAGTACCTGGGGACAGCCCATCCTGGAGGACAGCCTCCATGCCAAGCTGCCCAGCCACACTGCGCACACTCACCCTGGCCAGGGCTGGGCCTGGGGAAACTGAGCCAATGGGGCCCAGACTCTGCCCTTGGGGTGGGGAGGGGAGAACACCAGGGTCGAGCTGGCGCAGTGCAGGGCCTAGATGTCGGCAGGTGTCCGAGGCCGCATCACCTGGGCCAGTGGGGTGACAGGGCCTGGGGGAGGTGGGGTGGGGTGGGGCTCGGCAAGGCCAAGGCCACACAGCCTGCTGCCGTGGGACAGAGGCCTCGGCCGCATGACCGCTAACCGACCCCTCTCCCCAGAGTGTCAGGGGAGACCATAAATCCACGGTCTCCACACCTTTAGGGAGGCTGCGGAGGAGGGTGGGACCCCAGGCCTTGCTACCCACCCCACTGCCAAAGAGCCCTTCTGGTGGGCTGGCCCCTCCGTGCCACTCCAGGGCACAGCAGGGCCGGGTTGGGGAATGAGGCTGGGAGACCGGTTTGGGGGGTATTGTGACAGCCGGGTGGGGATGAGGGGGTGGGCCCCGGGTGGAGTGAGCTCATTGTGCTTCCCACCCACACCCCAGGATGCAATCTCCAGCCAGATCACCCGGTATTGGGGTGCACCCCGCAGAGCCCCTCACCCTCCTCCCACTGCCAGGCCCGTTCTGAGGACCCGATGCTCCCAGGAGCCTGGGAAGGAAGGTGTGGCCCCATCACCCCTTCACCAAGGGTGATGCACCCCAGGGCTCACGGCAGAGGGGGGCACCCAGGACTTGACCCTGACGGTCTGGTGGCTCAGGCACAAAAACCCTTGCCTCCCCCCATGAGACTCATGAGCACCCCTCCCTGAAATACCCCAGGATCCTGCAGGCCAGGTTCCCACCCTCCCCTGGGAGGAATGCCAGGAGGCGGGTCCGGGGCTGCTGCAGACACTATGTAAGACCGGCTCTGCCCTGGGCACAGGAAGACTCCCCATGGTGAAGAGCAAAGCCTGGTCCCTGCCCCGGCACATGCGTGTTCATGTGTGCACACGCACAGCTGTGTCCAGTGCTGCTCTGGGCACACGCATGGGCAATGGGGAGGGACGCCAGAGGGACCTGCCCCACCCTGTCTGGAAGGTCTTCCCAGTAACTTCTATGCCAGGAGGCAGTTAGACCATGGGCCAGAGTCCCACACCCCCGTCACCTCCTGGCCACCCCCCTCCCCCACCGAGTTTGGACTGTCCATCAGAGCAGGTGAGTTTGGCCCTCAGAGAGATGCCAGGGCCTGGGGAGGCAAGGAGATGCCCCACCAGAGGGCATGTGGGCATCCTCAGGCCCCCACACCCAGGCCCCAGGCCCACTCAGCCGACCCCAAGGGGAAGGGGTCAGAGCTGGGCAGCTCTGGTTGGTGACCACCAGCCTGTACACGTTTTATTTCTACATTGGTCCTCACAGCTCCTGGCAAGGTACAGCCCACAGCAGGAGCATGGGGTCAGGAAGCCCCAGCAGAGACCTCCAAGTGACCCCAGCCTCGCCCCGGCTGCAGGGCAGGACATCCCCACGGACTCTCTGCCCAGTGTCCTTTGCCCCCTCCCTCAAGGAGACCCACTGGGCACACCCAAATGTCTCAGGCTGGGACCCCGCCTTTAAGAAGCAGGGGGAGGGGCCAACTTGGGGGAACTCCTTCTACTACCTTGCAGGCTGAGCCTGTCCCGAGGGCACCTGTGTCCACCCCAGCCTGACACCTGGCACTGTGCAGCCTGCCCCCCCAAGAGCTGGGCGGAGGTTTTCTCCCCTTGCCCACCCCTCCCAGCTCCCAGGTGTTTGTAGATTTGGGGAACAAACATGAGATTCCCTTGAACTTTGTTCATAGCGTTTGTTTTTCCCCTAGGGTCTTTCTGGGCCTGCTGGCTCAGCTGAAGGCCGCCTTCTCCAGAAAGCCCTCCAGGCTGGGGGCGGGCAAGGCTCGGGGAAGCACGTGTCCTCCACCCCATCCAGCTTTGCCCCAGGAAGCTGTGGGACCACAGGCAAACAGGCAGCTCCCCCACAGGCAGCTGGGTCCAAGCCCACCCCAGGTGTCTCCCCTGCCCGAATGTCCATCGCAGTACCCCTGGTACCTGCCCCTCACGGCCAGCAGCAGTGGGCTGAGGCCATCCTCGTTGCGAGCGTTTGGGTCCATCCCTCTCTGCAGCAGCAGGGTAACCACCCCGGCATGGCCCTTCCGGGAGGCCACATGCAGTGGAGTTTGACCACTGAAGTCCTCCCTGCTCAGGTCACTGCCCTGGAGGGACACAAGGACATGTCTCCCACTGAGGAAAAGCTGGACAGGGTCAAGTGGACCACAGGGAAGGGGTCAGGGTGCACCCGAGGGTAGGGCTCAGCACAACCACTGTGCCCTTTAGCTGCAATGAGGCCCCAGACTGGTGGACCAGGGCACGGGGGAGTGAGGGGGTCCCAGGGAAAGACCGTCTTGCCACCCCCAAAGCCTGGCATGGCTGGGGTTGGTTGCCAAGGGGGCTGGGGGCTCACCTGTTCTGCAAGGGCCTTCAGGGCCTCCAGGTCGCCGGCGTGGGCCGCGGCACAGGCCAGGCTGGGGGCCAGGGCGTCTCGAACAGCATCTGTCTCCTAGGTGGGGAATGCAACACCTGGGGCCGTGCCTTTCCCTGGGTCCCAGCATCCCCAGAAGCAAAGTCCAAGACATGAGGCCACCATCCAGCTCTGTCCTCGTCAGCTGTGTGACCAGGGCCCACTACCTGGCCCTGAGACCCATATCCTGGTCTGTCTGCACCACCTTCCAGGATACAGGGACATAATTACCCCGAGGCACTGGCTTGGGGCAGACTGGCTTGGGCCAGGCTCCTCTCCTGAAAGAACCCTGCTCTACACGTCTCCAGAGCTCCCCAGCACCAGGAACATGTGGGGCTATCTAGGAGCTCCCCCCGATGCCAGAGGGCAAGGGGTCCCAGCAGAGGCCCCCGCAGGCAGCCCTGCACCTGGCTCAGCCCATGCTCAGCCTGCATGTATGGCCAGGCCTGACCACAAAGCTGCACCCTAATAACAGGCCACACACATCCTCACCTCCCATCTGACCATCACTCCCCAGGTAAGCTGCAGTTAATACCACAAAGCTCTCCACGACAAGTCCATCCCCACCCCTGCTGTGCTGAGGGGAAACTGAGGCACGGGGAGTGATCCAAGGCAACCCTGGACTCAGAGCTCTCTGTTGCCTGCTAGGCTCCCATGCCAGGGCTGGACGCTTCAACAGAGGCCAGGTTGGGTGTGTGATGGGACACTGAAAGGCCCCAATCTCCCCTGCAGGCCTGGTCCAGCCTGAACCCCCAACCCCAGACCCTGAGGCACATCCTTGGCTCCTCTGCCCTTTCCTGGGTCCGGGCAGCCTGGTTGAGAAGGAGAAGGGGAGCTTGAGGCCGGAAAGGCCAGGGGGCCTGGAGCCCTCACCCCGTGAAGCCCGTGCTCACAGCCTGGGAGACTCCTGAGCAGGTGGCGCTCCCTCCCAGCACCCAGGACCTGAGTGCCCCTCACCTCACTGAGTGCCCCCACCTCACTGGCCCCAGCACCCAGGGCCAGGGCCAGTGCTCATGGCCAGCCTGGTACTGTCCCCAACTATCTGGCCAAGTGGCCAGCTGTGCTCTGCCCACCATCAACACACTGTGAAGTCTCCCCTAGACTGCCCAGCCCCTCCTCGCATGCCGCTCCATGAACCCTGCAAACCCTCCCACCACAGGCCTTAACCCAGAACCAGGTGGACCTGAACCCAGAACCAGGTAGACCCAGGCCCAAAACCAGGAGGACCTGAACCCAGAACCAGGTAGACCCAGGCCCAGAACCAGGTGGACCTGAACCCAGAACCAAGTGGACCCAAGCCCAGAACCAGGTGGACCCGGGCCCAGAACCCAGTCAAGCCTGGTGGCTTCCTGCTTGCACCCTGGAAAGACAATGGCTGTGGCGGGCACCTGGCACACCCCGCGGGACCCACCCGCACTGGGCAGTACCTGGCTCAGGCTGAGGAGCTGGGCCACCCCAAGTCCCCGAGTGCTGCTCTGAAGGGAGGGCCGGCGCTCGTCCATCTCCACCTCTGGCAGCGTCATCTCCCCCCGGAGGTCCCTGGTCAGCAGCTGGGGAGGAGCGCAGGAGGCCCGGGCCCTGAGCCGGCAGCCCAGCCCAGCCCGCGGCCAGGGCCCCAGGTGGACGCCGGTGAGGGCTGCCCTGGGCCTCACACTCGGTTTGGGCTCCATCCTTCAGGCCTGAGCATGGTCCAGACCAGGCCCTCGCAGGCCGGCCTTACCCTCCAGCCCCACTAGCTCAGGGCCCGCAAGGCCCCAGTAGCCTCGGCCCAATCAGACGGCCTGGGGCGGCTGTGTCTGAGGCCTGCCTGGGGACTATCTGGGAGCAGTTTGGGGAACCTCGGGGGTGCCAGGCCTGAGGCTCCCCGAGAAGGTGAAAGGACAAGTGGAGCCCAAGGGCAGGGTCAGCAAAGGGTGCAGGAGCGTGGGCCTCAGAGCAGGCCCTTTGCACCTTGGGGAGGCCTGGATCCCTGCCCCCTCTCCAAACTCAGACACACCCCCCGGACGGGGCCCCATTGCCTGCAGGTCAAACCCCAGCACACCCTCAGGATCCCGCTGACACAGGTTCGGAGCCCGTGCCCACACCGGAGGGGCTCGCACCTCCTTCCTGTCGTCCAGGCTCAGCCCGGGCTGGCCCAGCACATAGGACAGCTTGGCCAGAGCGGCCTCGGACGTCATGTCGAAGCCGGAGACGATGCCCGCTCCCGCCGCGGCCTGCGCGGAAAGGGCACAGCGGTAAGCGGGGCGCGGGTCCCAGCCCAGCGGGCGCCCTGCCCTCGCCCTCCCTCTCAGGCCCCGGCTCCCGCCCACCATGCCCGCCGCGTAGTCCGAGGTCACGGTGCCCTGCAGACAGTGGGTGCAGTTGAGGATGAGGAGACCTCGGGCGGCCGCTGCCTGCAGCTCCCTCAGCAGGTCTGGCTTGGTGGGCCCGTTCCCCGAACCGAAGGTCTCCATGACCACGCCCTTTAGGGGGGGCTGCAGGAAGGCCCGGACCTGCGGGACCGGGAGGGGGTGAGGCCTTTGCTTCCCTCCCCAGCAACGGACCCACAGGCTCACCCTGCCCCTCTGGGTGCAGCCAGACGCAGTAGGGCTCCCTGCTGTGCTCCCAGGGTGGCCGAGCTCCCAGGGAGGCCAGGCCCCAAGCCGGGGCATGGAGAGCCCTGAGAGGCTGCTCCCCACTGAGTCCCCCAATGGGATCCGGGGTCCCTTTTAAGAGTTTGAGGCCATGGCTGGTGTGGAGAGAAGCAGAATACGGGGGAAACAGTCAGAGGAGGTCGTGGGGAGCAGGCTGCCCCCATCCTTCCCGGCCCACCCCATCCGTCCAGCACACAGCCCTGCCGATCCGCACACAGCAGGACGCTCCTAGCCGCCAGTGTTTGCAGAAAGGGCCTTGCAGCCAAACGCACGTGCAGGGTTCCCCTGTTACAAGTGCACATCGCAAAAAAGGTGAGATTGGGTCCCGAAGCTTCCAAGGAGGGGGGAAGGGTGCAGGTCGCCCCTACCCCGTGACACGCGAGGGTTCCAGGCACAAGGGTGCTATGCGATTGCAATTCTCCATGTGCCTGGGCCTGAGGGCAGCCTCGGGGTGGTGGGAATGGGGAGCAGAGAAGGGGACAGGATGGGAAGGCAGGCAGGGCAGAGCCAGCTTGTGCAGGCACTGGGGAGCCACGGGGGGCATGGGAGCTGTGGAGGGCACACTCGGGTGGGCGGGGCCCTACCAGGGTGGCGGGGATTCCAGGGTAGAGGCGCAGCAGGCCCACATCACACTCCATGCTGCTGTGCACCACAAGCTGGTCCTTCCCTCGGACCTTTCGCACCAGCTCCCGGTTGACTGTGAGGACAGAGGGACCATGTGGGACCCAAGAGCCACCTTCAGGCCAAGACTCCAGCCCAGACCCTCTGCGCCACCTGCCTCTCTCTGGTGTTTTCAGAGCCCTGAGCCTTCACCTGGCCACCAAGCCCTCCAATGCACTGGCTTGTGACGGGCTCTGTGGGGGGCGTGGTGCTCAGGGGCGAACAGGACCCCCAGGGATGGAACCGCATTCGAGGCAGAGGGACCAGCACGTGCAAACGCCAGGAGGCACAGCAGATGAGGCACAGCTGCAGGGTCCCTGGTAAAGTCTGCTGCCCTGGACCCCGGGAGAAGCCGGGTGGCATTCTTAGCACAGTCAGCCTCACCTGCCCCTTGCTGGGCACCTACCCTGCACCTACCCAACAAATGAATGAATGAATGAATGAATGAATGAATGAATGGTCTTCTGGACCCCTCACCTTTGGGGAAAGAAAGCCTCAATCTGATACACCCTGAAGTCTCAGATGCCTAATGTGCGCCCACCCCACTCCCCATGCCAGGGTGGGTAATAGCAGCTCCTAGCCCGGTGGATGGAAAGGGGCAGATTCTTGGGGTCGGTGTCCCTTGAGCCCGCCGTGCAGAGGAGCTCCCCAGAAGGTCAGTCTCTCGGAGTCTGAAGGCTGCTGCACCTCCAGGACCAGCCACAGGTGGTGCACGGGGTGGGGGTGGGGGGACCGGGGAGCAGTGCAGCCTGCAAACCTCAGAAGCCCAGCGCCGAGCACGGGGCCCACCTCTCAGACCCTCGGCAGCCTGGATCGGCAGAGGCGGGGGTGGATGACCCCACCGGCACAGCCTATCCCAGGTGCCAGACAGGCTGCCCAGAGAGTCGGGCGCGGAGGCAGGAGGGGCCGGGGGCTCCAGGACCTCCACCCAGGCCTCCTCCGGCCCCCATGGTGGGGAGGTGTGAGCCTGAGTGCCCCCTGCTGTCCCCGGAGCAATCCACACATGATAATGAACTAAGAAACACCCCAGGCACATGCCCTCTCACGGAGACGGAGATGGAGGGGGCGGGCACCGGAGGGTGGGCAGCAGCGAGGAGCTAGCCATGCTGAGGCCAGGAGACGCCCGGGCCAGGGCATCAGTCAGGCATCCTTTAATTTAGGGACCGCTGCCCCGGCCGGGTGAGCAGATAAGACGGCGGCGGGTGGGGCTGACACCACGGAGGAGTCATGGCAGAGGGGTTTACGGAGACAGAGGGCCACCCCCACCCAGACGGCCCGCCCCTCTGAGAGCCCATGGAACCCAAGTCCTCTGCTTGGCCTGGAGCCGACCGTCCCACAACCAGAGGGGCCGAGGGGAGGAGGGACGGTAGGAGGAGCTTGTGGTGGGGCCTCCAAAGAGAGGACGTGGCCCCCGAGCCTGTGCCCTTCGTCTGCAGCGGCCTCTCAGAGGGCAGTGAAGATGCAGGAAGCCCCTGAGGGGGGACCCTGCTGGTGGCATCACCCTCTGGCTGCCTTGACTACACCCTGAGCCCAAGGGCCCGCCAGCCACACCCTGGGCCTGGGCAGAGCTCCGTGTTTCTCAGCACCAGCTGCCAAACCGGACAGGCCTGGGCGGGCGGGGCCGGGTTCTCACACCCGCACGCCCCCCCACCCCCTCAGTGGGAAGCAGCCGGGGATCACGGGCCTGGGGGCCGAGGGGGCCTCTTCCCTCCGGCCAGCCTCAGCCCTGCACCCGCCAAGCTGCTGGGCCTGGCAGAGCAGGCGTCCCTGTGCCCGTGGCCTGCCCGGGCTTGGCGAGACACAGCCCAGCCCTGGGATCCAGTGAACTCCTCCACACCTGCCCGTGGGCTCCATCCCCAGAGGCTCCACTCCTGAGTTCCATACAAGGCGTGACTCAGTCCCCATGGGGGAGGGGGCCCTGCTCCTTCCTTCCTCAGCTGGCTTGGGGTGGTGCACATGGGCAGAAGGGGCTGAGTGCCACCACCCAGCAGAGGCAGGGAAGCCAATCCATCAGCACCAGCATATGAGCCACCTCCTCCAGGAAGCCTCCTGTACTGCTCTGGTCCCCAGCCAGCAGGAGGGCCTCACCTGGTCCCTGGAGCCCTGGGCATTCTGCACACATGTGGGGTGCACCAAAGTGTTCTGGGCCTCGCATCCCCTGGAAGGCACTTGGGAGAACGGGCTGGGCAGGCTGGGGACGGGAAGTGTGGGGTCAGAGCACCGGAATGGGATTCAGGGCTCAGGGCCAAGCCAGTGCCTCCCTCTGTGGCCCTTCCCCTCTCTACCTCGGTTTCCTACCACAGGGTCTCCTCCAGGACCCTGGACCTCCTGGCAGAGGAACCCGGGCAGCCAGTAGAGCCCACCAGTCACCGCCTGATGCCACAGCCAGTCACCACCTGACTTGAGATCCAAAGGTGCTGGGGGCTCTCAGGGTCACATGACCACCCCACCCCGCCAGGAAAGAGCCCGTTCCTTCACCTGCTCACACTAAGACCTCTAGGGGCTCCTCCCTGGCTGGTCTCCAGAAACTGCCCCCTCCAGGCCCCGCAGGCCCAGGCAGAAGCCCGAGTGGGCGAGAGGCCACCTCTGCTGTTCCGAGGGCTGGACGCTTGGTCAAGCAGTCCAACCGGAAGAGCCGCCTGGGTCCTGCGCGTCCCACAGAAGCAGCCCCACCCTGAGCAAGGCTTCAAGGCCCCAAACACCCCCACAGGAAGGCCCTGCCCAGACCCTGACCCAGGGACCACAGCTGGGGGTGGGGCCGGGGCGGGAAAGGTGCTCCAGGGCCCTGGCTCAGTCAGCAAGTGAAAAGACACAGGCCAGGCTTGGGTTGTCCTTCACACACCCGGGCCAGGTGGGTGGCAAGGCAACTGGAGAGAAGCCACACGTCACAGGAGCAGACGGTCCGGCTGTCCCAGGGAAGGGCTGCCAGGGTGCTAGGGGGGCGTGGGAGGAGTTGGCCACGCCCGCCTCAGCCCGGACAGTGGGAGACACCATGGGACTGCAGACAGAGGGGACTCTCCTTGGGCCACTGAGGTGGCCCTGAGTCAGCCGAGGCCAGAGCTCTGGGCCCAACAGCCTGGCCGGAAGCAGCCCCCACACCCAAAGCAAGGGGTGGGGTGTCCTCCCTCGGGGAGTCTCAGGACACATGACCTGCTGGAGACACAGGGGTGCTGGGCTGCCTGCCAGGCGCAGGGAACAGAGAGAGAAGGTCCCAGGGACGCAGGAGGATGGCAGAGCCAGTCCCAGGGACCCAGGAGGATGGCAGAGCCAGTCACTGCGAGGGACGCCTGGGCTGGGGGCCACATGGCCTGAGGGGCACACAAGGGGAAAACCCCCCAAACCTGCTCCTCCTGGGGAGCGACCCCTGGCCCGAGCTGGGGTTACCTGCTGGGGCCCCCCACTGGACAGCCCATGCAGCCCACCCTCTCGGAGCAGCACCCCCTCCTGGCTTCTCCCAAGCCCAGGGCAGAGCCAAGCTGTGCTGTCCCAGTTCCGGGGCAGCGAGTGTCCCCAGTCGGGCCGTCTCCCCACCCCAGCTCCCCGCAGGATCCACAGTCGCTCTCCCCGCTGGCCCCATCACACCCATCACACCCGCTTACTTGTGACGTCAGCGCCCACGACAGCCAGAGGCGGCAGGTTGGGGGAGCAGAAGGCGGCAAACCTGCGCGTGTCCACCTTGGTCACCCGGGTGCCCCGAAACAGCTGGTTCTGGAAGAACAAACAGACCTGCGGGAGGCGAGGGACAGCGGTGTGAGACGGGCCGAATGCCCCTCCCTGAAGCCCCTCCCGGGTGTCCCCTCCCCTGCAATGTGAGGGGCCCAATCTCATAAATGACTCCTGTGTCCCACGTGCCTGGGAACAATGTTGAAGAGGGAAAAAGACACTCAGGACTCTGTGGACATGTCTGTTTTCATGGAAACTTACACACGTGTAAGAGAAATACATGTCACCGGGAGGGAGATGCGGGGACGCCCCCTCCCGCTTTCTGTTTCCCCTGTTTTCCTGCGTTCCGTGTATGGCGCTTACAGGGGGAAGGGCAGGTCTTCAAAACCCAAGTGCCGCCCCCGCCGGGGAGGGTACCTCAGGGATCACGTACTGGCCGGCCATGAGCAGCGCCCCCAGCAGGTTCTCCCGGCCGTCATTCCACAGCGCGTGGATGGGCACCTAGGAGAGGTCACGGGCAGGAGCTGAGGCCCAGCCGGGCGCCCCCTCGGGGGCTGGGAGAGAGGGGGGCTGGGGCGGGCTCAGGCAGTGGGAGAGGGGCCTGCGGGACCTGCCCCAGGAGAGCAGCTCCTGCTGAACATAACCGCCCAGGCCAGCCCCCCAGCCCTCTGCTCCCCCTGCCAGTCCCCACACTGGGAGGAGCTCTGCCCACCCCCCGGGGGACCCCACCACTGCCCAGCCAGCTCCTTGGTCCAGAGGGCACCCCCCGGCCCCAGGCAGGACCAGCACACGGATGGACGGACGGCTCCGGCAGTGCTGGGGCTCCCTCTGGAGCTGCAGGGCTGAGCAAGAAGCCAGGACCCCTGGGCCCCCACCAGCTTCCCCTGAAGCCCCAGGAAGGCCTGACCCACAGAGCCGGGTGGTACCTGGGCACCCGTGAGGATGACGGTCTTCTGCAGGTTTTCCAGCACGAAAGCAAGCACAGAGGCGGCGAAGGCCATGGTGTCGGTGCCGTGGATGACCACGAAGCCGTGGTACTGCTCGTAGTGTCTCTGTGGGGGGAGGGGCGCAGGCTCAGGCAGGGCGGCCCTCACCATTGCTGGCCTCCTGGGACAGGGAGCCGGGTCCTCGCCACCCCCAGGAAACGGAAGGCCCCAGATGCAGAGTGGGGTGGGGTGGGCGTCGGTGGGACCCCGATTGTGGAAGGCCCCTTCTGTAAGCCCCAGCCCCCCTGCGTCAGTGGGACCCCGATTGTTGAAGGCCCCCTCTTTAAGTCCCAGCCCCCCCGCTCTCCCTGCCCCAGGATGGCCTCCTTCCCTAGCTCCTGGCATGAGCCCACAGTGCTGCAGGCCTGTGGACATTCCCTGAGGACAAGCAGGGGCCCCCTCTAGACTTCCTGGTAGTGTCACCCCCAGGTTATGCCCAGTCAGGACTCCCAAGGACACTGGTCAGTAGGGGATGCTGACAGGCAAACGGGGCAAGGGCCCTCCCAGGCATGCTGGCCAGCTCTGCAGGAGTGAGGGTGGCTGCGGGGACATCCCCCGGCCACCACCTCCTGGAGGGCAGCCAAGACTGAGCCTTGGTGTGCTTGCGAGGGGCCTGGTTATGGGAGCCAAGGGGCCCAGCCCCTCCTGAGGGGACCGTTACTGAACGACCAGAAAGCTGGCTGGAACCGCAGAGCTGAGCCACAGGGCGGGCTGGGGCGCCATCTGCCGGCCATGCAGGGCTCGGCCACAGACGGGGCCACCAGGCTCCACAGGCCCTTTGAGTCCCGTGGTGGCCGGACCCTGCAGCCAGGACAGCGGTCCTGCGTGCTCAGCAAAGCGCTCAGGCACCTCATGGAGAAAGACTGGCCCAGACAATGGCCGCAGACATGCCTACTGGTAGCCAAGGGGTCCCGTAGGCCTAGGGCCACGCACACGGTCCCAGACGCTCACAGTGAAAGGGTAGGTGGGGTGAGCACCAGGAGGCTGTTATCTCCCAGGCAGGAGACAAGCCCGTGACTGTGGCCCATGCCCTTGGCGGCCAGGGGAGGGGAGCCTTGGGATGAGCCTCTGGGGAGCAGGTGAGAAATGGGCCTAGAGGATGGGAAGGCCCCCACCTTGGGGAGCCAGGACCAGGATTGTGCAGGATGGGGAAGGGGGAAGACAGAGGACAGCTGGCCCAGGAAGGCATGTGCACTGGGTGCTGTAAGCCAAGACACGCCCTTGCGGGGTCCTGCACCCTCTTGTGGGTCCTAAATTCACTAAGACCATGGCTCCAGGGTGGGTGAGCAGTGGAGAGAGGGTGACGGGCCAGGTGTGGAGCTTGTCACACTGCGGGGAAGTTGCAACTGGAACAAACCAAGTGCAGGAACAAACCAGAACCGCTGTCTGGCACTCTCCTCTCCCCGGAAAGGACATGGCCCTCACTGCCCCTCTCCCCTTGCAGGGGCAAAGTCCTCCCTGCAGCTGGGGGGTGACCCAAGGGGCCTGGCACCTTTCTGAAGCTGCAGACCCACCACAGGCCAAGAGGCTTGTGTGCTGGCCTTGCCCAGCCCAGTAGCCCTGCGGGACTCCACAGTCCGGCCCACAGTCCCAGCCCCACCCACGCTCCCCAGCTACCTCAATGGTCTGGGCAATCTGGACCCACTCGGTGATGGTCATGTCACTGGAGTCGAAGAGGGGCTGGCACTCCAGCACCGTGTATATGACCCTCTGGTTGGGACTGGCTGGCCTGCAGGAGGCAGAAGGGTGGCTCCCACACTGACCCCTCCCCCCTTGGCCCACCCTGCTCCCCTCCACCTGGCGGGGCTCCTGCACCCAGGGCCCTGTGTCCCTGGGCTCTGCACATCCACAAACTCTCAGCATCCTGAGTACAGGGCCCGGCCTCCCTTCCACCAGGGTCCCCAGGAACAGGGACCGTGGTGGCTGAGAGGGGCCAAGGATGGGCCAGGAAGGGCTGCTCCGGGGCACAGTCACCCTCCCACCACCAGCTCTGAGGCAGGCCAGGCCCAGCCCCGGGTGAGCCAGGAGACAGCCTGAGAGGAGAGTGGCTGGCAGGAGGGAGGTCAGTGACCAGGAGGGCACCTCCTGGAGCAGCCTGCCAGCCATGAAGGGCACAGGCAGCCTGGGCCCAGAGCCAAGAAACAGGGCCCTTCATGCTGTGGGGAGAAGGGGCCAGCTGGCCGCCCCCTGAGCTGGTGGGGGTCTGAGGCTCTCTCAAAAGGGGACTTTGGTCAGTTTAAAGCCAAGGAAGTGGCCATTAGTGACAGCCTCCTGCAAATGGCTCCCCCGGAGGCCCTGAGTGACCGCAGCCTGCTCGATGGCCCTCCCCCGGGACAGCTGGCTGTGGCCCTGCCCGAGACCCCAGGGAGCCCACACTCACGGCAGCACCAGGGTGTCCTCAGGGAGGCCCCGGGCCCGAGCATGTTCCTCGTCATGGAACATGGGCAGTGTCCTCAGGACGGCGGCCAGGCCCTTCCCAGGGACCAGCACTGCAGACCGGGGGAGAGGGGTGGTGTCAGGGGTGGGCAGCCGCCACCAGCTCCCATAGCCACTGGCCCCTCTTTTCTGTGCTGGGGGCCAGGCCTGGGCAGGGGCGCGGGCAGGGGCCAGGGCTGGCCCAGGTGAGCTCTGGCCCTCAAGGAAGTCAGAGGCCAGGTGGACAGGCTTTCGGCTGCCATAGGGCCCCGTCTCCAGGTGAGGCTCAAGGGGCCTTGGCTGTCTGCAGTCTTTTTCTCATGTGCCCACTCTTTTGCCCCCAGTCTCCAGAACATCCCCAGACATGCTGTCAGAGGACTGCCAGAAAGTCCTCTGCCCCTGCCCTCTTCTGACCTGTCAGGTGCTTCACCCCAGCTCAGGGCACCACCTCCAGGAAGCCCTCCTTGATGTCCAAGCCCTGGTGCCCTTCCCACATGCCCTCCACAGCCCTTGCTCCCTTGCTGGACTGTGTGTGACTCCTCCAGGGTACAGTCCAAGCCCTCTGCCTGCAGCCTCCATGTCCCAGAAACACCTTCATGGAGGCCCTGGCAGATGGGGGGGCTTGTTCTACGCAAACCCTAAAAGGTCACAGGTGTATCTCCCCGAAACAAATGACTCCTCAGCACAGCCTTCCATCCCACACTGCTCCCTACAGGTACCGTGACCTCGGACAGGCGGCTGACTTCCTGGGCGCAATCACTCCTCACCCAGGCTCTGTGGGGCTTTTCCCATGTGCCTGGCTGTGCCGGGCACCTGGACACAGCAGCGAGGACGACAAGGCTCCCCCCTGCCCCATTAAGAAGAATCCTCGGGCCCGGCCGGCCTGGCTCAGTGGCTGAGCATCAACCTAGGATCCAGGAGATCACAGTTCGACTCCTGGTCCGATTCCCAGTCGGGGCACAGGCCCGGGTTGCAGGCTCGATCCCCAGCAGGGGGCGTGCAGGAGGCAGCCGATCAATGACTCATCATTGATGTTTCTCTCTCCCCCTCTTCCTTCCTCTCTTTGAAATCAATAAAGATACTTTAAAAAAAAAAACTATCCTCAGCTAAAATATGTAAGACCTTCAGGACCAAGGTCAGTGGTCACTCCTGGGTGACAGGCTTGCTCCCGGCCTTCGAGTCTGCCGGGCGAATCAGGCCGCACTGCTGTGTAACAAACGGCCCCAGGCTGGGCCGCCAAGACAGCAGCGGTTGCTGTCTCAGTTCGGGAGGTGCTGGGGCAGTGTGTCCAGGCTCCCACGGCCATTGGCAGGATTCGGTTCCCTGCGTGGACCACTGTCCTTGCCGCCTGTGCACAGCAGCCATTCTCGGCTTCTGGAGGCGGCCCAGCTCCCGGCTCTGTCTTCAAAGCCAGCAACGGCGGGTCGAGTCCTCACGCTTCGAATCTCTCTGACCTCACTCTGCCTCACCTTTCCCATTAAGAGGCCCGAATGCCCGCTCACCTCACCCCTGAGGATCTGTCTTCTCCAGGCTGAGGACCAGGTTCTCTTCTTCCCTCAGGGACAGCAGCTGAGCTCAGGCCCCCACCCCTCAGCCCACTGCCCCAGGCCCTCTGCAGCCCACCCCAAATGTCCCTCCTGCCCTGCAGCTCCCAGCAGGTCTGCACCCCCGCCCCTCGCCCTCCACCGGGGGCACCTGTTTCCATCTTGTTATGTGTCCTGACAGCTTGGTCTTAGGACCAGGGACAGTGTTTTCTCTGCTCTCCACCATCTGGAAGGTGCACCGACCGGGATGCACCCAGCGGCCAGTCGGATAGACTGGGGTTCCAGCCCTGCTTTGTCCGACCGTGCCAGCTCCCAGGAGAGCGTGGGTCACGAGGGGCCCAGCCCACAAAGGGCCTTTGTCGCTTGTTAGTGCCGAAAACAAAAGGCTTCGCTTTCTCCACTTTCTCGCTTCCCATGAAGGGTTCATCCGTCTGAGTTCGATAGATCCTACCGCGGAGGCCTGACAACGGACCCTTTTAATTGGAAAACTTTCTCCATTGAAAACAGGGAAACTTTTTCCTTGGAAAGCTCTCCTGTTGGTATAATAACTAGTCATTAAGATTCCGTCAGTGAGATGCAAGGACAGGAGTTAGAACAAAAATCACAGTCCGCTCAGACCGTGGCCCATTTGTCTTCCGATGGGTAAAAGCTAGGACATAGGGAAGCTGATTGTCCTGCACATAAGCAGAATGAGCCCGGCTGGCGTGGCTCAGCGGCTGAGCATCGACCTAGGATCCAGGAGACTGCGGCTTGATTCCCAGTCAGGGCACATGCCCGGGTTGCCGGCTCGATCCCCAGCGGCGGGCGTGCAGGGGGCAGCCAACCAATGACTCTCATCATTGATGTTTCTCTCTCTCCCTCTCCCTCCCTCTCTCTGAAATCAATAAAATAATTTTTTAAAATTAAAAAGGAATGGCGAAGTCCTACAAAAAAACCCTAAATCTCAAGGACTCGACTGGGGAACTATCAGGATGGAAGCTCCAAAATGTGGCCAGACAGCAACGCAGGCTCAGCTCCAGCCACGGCAAAGGTCCTACCCACGGCTGCTCGCCCGCCCGCAGCCCGAGGGGAAGCTAAAGCCCAAAATGACAGCGGCAATTACGAGAACTGTTCCGATTAGGTAAAATCATGTTAAAAGCGCACTTGGAAGTGAGGGTTCCCAAATTAGGTAAACAGAACTAGGCAGCTGTGTGGATGGGAAAGGGGCCACAGGCTAACCCGACAGCTTGGGGGAGGCCTTGGTGTCGGACTTACAAACCCAGAGACCAAAGTAACCACACAGGAGGGTCTGAAATTAAAAATTCCTAACTACAAGCAGGTCACGGCGGGTAGTCCTATCCTAGGCCTGTATCTCCCCTGACAAAGGTCAGTCCTCACCTTAACTGAGCCTGTGATTGACTTCTTTGCGTCTCAGATAAAGTTCCTTTGAAATGTCAGAGCATCTCCTTTTCCAGACCCTCAGGGCACAACCTCGCACCAGAGCAGAGGCCACAGAACAAGTTTTCCTTCGGTTCCCACAGAGATGCCTCCTTGAACCCCAGCTACCTGCACCACAGGCTTAACTTTGGGAGCCCACCGGCCTGCAGCCTCCGAAAATGAGACCCGGCTTCCATCGAACTTGACTTTTCTCAAGGCCGAGGCTGGTTTAGTGAGATACGGCCCATCCACCAGCCACTCCTGGAAGGTGACTGTTCTGAAGAACTGTGGGGGTTCAGAACGGCCACCCCAAGACGTGCCTCTGTGCTGTGCGACTGCTCTGAGCTAAAGGTAACTTTACCCGAAGGCTCAGAAGAGACGCCTGCCCCTCCTTTAACGACCTGGAACTTAAACAAGGGGCCTTAAGAAGAGACGATCAGAGACACCTGTTCTCCACAGGGCAGGACAAACTTCTATTTACTAAACACCCGCTCTACTGTCCCCAACTTAGGACGTCTGTCCTACCCCCCCTTCCCTTTTGGTCTCTGAACCACCCAGCATGGGTGGGTCTTCAACTCTCTCATGTATGTGGGGTCCCCATACATATGTTTTCTCTCTGAAAAACAAAGAAATATTAAAAGGTAATGAAAAAAAATAGCTATTAAAAAAATAATAAGCCCAGCCGATGTGGTTCAGTGGTTGAGCATCAGATACCCATGAACCAGGAGGTCACCAGTTTGATTCCCGGTCAGGGCACGTGCCCAGGTTTGGGGCTCGATCCCCAGTCGGGGGCATGCAGGAGGCAGCCGATCAACGTTTCTCTCCCATCGATGTTTCTCTCTTTCTCTCTCCCTTCTCTAATAATCATTTAAGAACATATTTATAAAAACATATATGTAAAGAAACAAATATTTTTCTGGGTGTTGTGATATTCTTGGCTTTATGTGATTTCCCTCGCCATCCTAAATAAATATCCGTTTTCATGCCTAAATCTGATTTTGTAAATTGTATTATTTTTCTTAACAAGGGCCCCCAGGCTTCAGGCCCTGCCACACCAGAGCCTGCCCTGCCTGGGCCCCGGCCCTGAGCCGCACACTCGGGGCCTGAGTTCTCTGCACCTGTCAGACAGGCTCCTCTGTAAGGGACAGTTTGCCCCAGAACATCAGGTCCCACCTGTAGCTTCAGCCATAAAAACAAGAACTGGGAGCTTGTGAAACCATGTTCAAGAAGGAGATCCGGACCGGGGACAGAGATGCCACGTTGCTGTGACCGATGATCCGCTGTCAGAACCTCCTGCGGCCTCCCAGGCCATCCCGCACCTTTGGCTGCCCGGCCCAGAAGCTCTGCTCACCCCAAGGCAGGTGGGGCAGAACTTTGATGCCAGGGGCTCTGGGCTCCTCAGCCTCTGAGGCTGCCCCGACTGCCACTGGGGTATCTGCTGTTTTTCTGTTTTTGTTTTTTAAATATATTTTTATTGATTTCAGAGAGAAGAAGGGAGAGGGAGAGAGTTGAAACATCAACGATAAGTCATTGATGGGCTGCCTCCTGCACGCCCCCTACTGGGGATGGAGCCCGCAACCCGGGCCTGTGCCCTGACTGGGAATCGAACCATGGTCTCCTGGATCATAGGTCGATGCTCAACCGCTGAGCCACGCCGGCCGGGCATATCTGCTGTTTTTGGATTCATGATGCCCCTTGACCTGTGACATCTTTGATGAACTCAGGGACAGGACAAGCCAAGGGGTGTCCCTAGCTGCCACCCTCTGCCCTCCCCCACTGTCCTGACCTTTGGCAGGGCTCGGCCGTGTGGCTGTGTGGCCGTGCGACCTGCAGGACACTGTTTACCAGCAGGCGAGAACACACTCTGGACAGTGACAATCCAAACAGCTTTGCTGCGGCTGGGCCACCTTCCCCACTGCCCTCACCACCCCCGGGGACCGGGGCACACGTCAGCAGTGCCAGGCCAGTTAACCATTGACATCGACACCATTCTGATGGGAATTCCAGGGCCAGCGGAGCCTGCAGTCCCAAGTTCATCATCCCACCGGGCTGGAGGGCAGGGGCTTCCCGAGGCCTGGCTTCTTCGTTCATCTCTGGACGCAGAAAGGTCGCTACAACCTGTGTGTCCCCGAAGACTGGGCACCAGACACACCTCAGAGCAGGCCTGAGGCCTCCCTGATGTCCCCCAGGGTCAGGGTCACAAGGCCCTGGACCCAGGTCCCCTAGCTGCTCCTCTTCTAGGGGGACAACAGGGACAGGTCTCAGGTCTCTTCTTCCTTCGTCCCCTGGTCTTAACCTCTGGGCTACCTGAAGCCTTCCCAAGAGCGGAAGGGTCTGACAGTGGGGTCAGGTGGCATGAAGGCCAGCTGCTGAGGGGCCAGTTCCTTCTGGAAGCAGAGCCCTCAGCAAGCAGCCGAAGATGCTGCCGTGACCCCAGTGGACCAGGAGGGGTGCCTTGTCCGACACCCCAGGGCTCAGAAGACTGGCGTCCCCTACGGCTGGGGTAGGCAGGCTGCTCGGAGCTTGCGGGTCAGGCCCTGTCTCCCCAGGGTTACAGCAGCTTCCAAGCAGGCACCTGCTGACCTCCCCTTCATGGGCCTGACAACCCCAGTGGCCAAAGCAGGCTCTGGGGGACATAAGACCCTGCCCCATGGGCCCCATTTTCTCATGCTGAGGCCTCTGGTTCACCTTTCAGACGTGTGACCTTAGCAGCCTCTTAGGGAAACTTGGAGCCACAGGGCTGCTGCCTGGAGCCCATCGGGGACAGGGATGGGGGCACGGCTGGGACACGACATGGACAAGACGCGGTGTGGGCGGGAGCAGGGCCAGAGCCCACCTCGTCCCTTCACCCGGACCCTCGGGAATGAGGTGCTGAGCTTGACGGAACTGCAGTTGGCCGCGTGCCACACCTGGAGGGGCAGGCAGGGTGGACAGGGCCCCAGACGGAGTCAGCAGGCCAGCTCTCGAGGGAGCAGCTGCCCTCATACCCCAGCCCTGCTCCCCTGCCCGGGTCCACCCCTCCCTGACTCAGGCTCAGAGTCCGGCAGTGAGGTGCCCGCAGCCATGAGGCTCCCCAGAGGCTGCCTCTGTGACCAGCCCCTTAATCCTGTGCAGCTGCTGGTTTAAGGTCCAAGTTGAGGGACCAGCAGACCCTGGGGCCGGACGGAGTGTCACTCGGCCCTCCAGGCATCCACCAACCAGCAAACTGTCCAGATCAGGATGTGGAAGGCACGGCATCTGATGGCAGGCTCCTGGCAGCCCAGGCGAGCCATTGGCCGGGATATGGACAGCCCTGTCGCGGGTGTCCGAGCCCCTCCAGGACAGGGTTCTACTCAGGTCTGAGTCCTGGGCCCAGCACACCATGGGCTCAAGAACATCTGTGAACTGACCACTGGATGTGGCAGATGGACTAATGGACCAGGGACCGAGAAGCAGCCGTTGGAGGGCAGAGGGCGGTGAGTAGCTGCTTCAGTGGACAGGGGTTGGGAAGGAGGGAGGAAGGGACAGGAAGTAGCCCAAGGACTGGCAAGGGCAAAGGAGGGTGTTCTCTATTAGATCCGGGGGTGGGGGTGGGGGTGCAGGAGCTGAGTCAGTTCTGAGGCTGGGAGAGGTCAGGGCTGGGGGCGGTGACAAGGCCCATGGAAGGGCTGCTGGGAGAGGGTCCGAGTGGGAGGACTCCCCAGGGCCAGGTGCTGGGGCTGCCCCAGGTGAGACTCGCACCTGGGACAGCAGGGAGGAGCGGCTGGTTAGAGAGAGGGAGCCGGGAGGAAGGAGGCAGAGAAGGACCAGTGCCCTTGGGAACAGGACTCCTTAGGGACAGCTAACTGGGGACAGCAGAGTGGAGAAGAGGTCCCGGAAAGAGGCTGAGGGTGTGCCCTGGCCCACCTGGGGAGGGGCGCAGCACCTCCAGGGCCAAGAGGAACGTCTGGGGAAGGTACACCCCGTGTCCTGCCTGTCTGGGAATGCTGGACATTCTCGATGCTCTTCCCACTCCTTGGGGGTCCAGCTCCCCCCACACTCCCCATCCCTCACCCCCCACCCCGGCACTGGGTCCCTGGCTGAAGGCAGCACCCCTGCCCCAGCGACCTGCGGACTGGGTGCCCCAGGGGGACCCTCACCCCCACACAGAGCAGTCACTCCCTGCTGACTCCAATCGGGCCGATGCCACAGAGGCAGAGAAAACAAAACGCCACCGCTCCCCAAAGCCACCTGCGCCTAAGTGTGTCCCCAGAGGCGTCAAAGCCCTCGGGGCCAGGGGCCAGGGGCCAGGGGACGGGTGGGGGTCACAGCGCGCAGTGGTCCTAGTGAAGGCCTCGCGGCCCTAGGCACCTGCCGGGGG